AAGCGCAAGTAGGTGATGGAAAAAATACTTTTCTTTCTGTAGTGACAGTCAAGTAAGCAGCACTGCTGTTGTCGCAGCTGTCCGAAGGGTGTTGGTGGAGGTGGGTGCAGGTGGTTGTGACCCGCTCCCCCCTCCTTCCCCCCCCCCCCCCCCCCCCAGTGTCACAAATATGGCCTCAGCTGGCGCCCCCGCCAAGGACACCGCCAAGCCACGACTACATGTGTGTAACCACCAAGATATGTGCCTTTATTTATATCTAATGAATATGGTCTGAGGTGGCGGGGTTTCCACGAGCGGGGAGAGGAGGGTGGCGCGGGAGAATGACTCGTTTCTGCGGCGCAGTTTGGCAGAGATTCTTCTGGAAGCTCAATTATTAGCAAACTGATGCTATATTTTTGTTATGTACTTTGAAATTACTTTATCACAAATGAAGTTAATATTTTGCTTTATTACTATAACGTGCACAAATTATAAATCTGTTAGTTTGAGAATTTGATGAGTATGCAAAATATTTGCTAAAGTTATTCACTCTGCTTTAGAACGGATTGAATTACACGCATTTTATCACTAAAGTTTTTAGTTTATCAAGCTGGATGTTATTGTTTTCCCCACTTAATTGTTCCACACACACACACACACACACACACACACACACACACACACACACACACACACACACACACACACATAATTTGCCCCATCTTGTAATGCTGGTTTGAATCCCACCATAGCTTCTTCTTCTCTGTTTGGCGGCTACTGTTGTGTTTGGCAGGACCGCCACCTGTCGGCCGCCTGGAGAGTGAGATAGACATGACAATACTTCTTCCATTATAAGAAGATTCTTTAGAGCATCAAAATCAGTGACTGCAAGTGTTTAATAATATTAATCATGATGCCTAGGCTTGTAATTTCATTAGACTAGCCTACTAATTATGCCAATACACGTTGAAATGCATTTCAAGGATCATTTGAACAAGTCCATAACACACACTTGAGAGCATCATCAGCAGCAGTAACAGCAGCAGTAGTAACAGCAGCAGCAGTAGGAGTAGTAGTAATAGCAGTAGTAACAGCAGCAGCAGCGTTATCATCATCATTACCACGCAGTTGTTTAACATCCATGTGTATGTCTGAAGTTGGTCAAGATCTTCCGGTAATTCTCTGTAGTCCTCCTCCGATGTTACATTCCTCATTAGCTTTGCGTGGGCTACAAGCATTAACAGGTAGGAGCTTCTTCTTCTCTGTTTGGCGGCTACTGTTGTGTTTGGCAGGACCGCCACCTGTCGGCCGCCTGGAGAGTGAGATATATGGCGCGCAGGGAAATTAATGAATTGTGATGGGCAGATGGAATGTGGGCGTGTGGGGGGGCCTAGCTTTTTTAGCTTTTTACATCACACGTCTTTCCTCTACAGACCCATAAAAATAAGATTAATGGACCCAGTGAAGAGGTCACCCGTCTTCTCCAACAGTACATCGCATTTTGACGTATAAATCCACAGCGGCCGTAATATGATGTACTATAAATCATAGCGGTGCACAACATTGTGACGGGCTGTCACGTTTTCTATTCGTGGGTCCTCGGGTTTTAGGTTAGATTGGGGCAATTTAGTACATCATTTTTCCGACGCTGTGACAACTGGAAAGGAGGACGGGTTGCAACACTAACAGTCAGAGAACACTGTGATCGTCAGAGAACACGTGCGATCGCCATCAAGCTGCTTCCTGTGTACTCGCTTATTTGTGCTTACGGGGATTGAGCTCTGGCTCTTTGGTCCCGCCTCTCAACTGTCAATCAATTGGTGTACAGGTTCCTGAACCTACTGGGCTCTATCATATCTACACTTGAAACTGTATGGAGTCAGCCTCCACCACATCACTTCTTAATACATTCCATTTGTCAACCACTCTGACACTGAAAAAGTTCTTTCTAATATCTCTGTGGCTCGTGGGCCGCTCCAAGCAACAGCCTGGTGGACCAAACTCTCACAAGTCAAGTCTGGCCTCGGGCCGGGCTTGGGGAGTAGAACTCCCAGAACCCCATCAACCAGGCTCATTTGGGCACTCAATTTCCACCTGTGTCCCTAGTGCGTGTGTCCCTTGTGTTAAATAGCCTGTCTTTATCTACCCTATCAATTCCTCTGAGAATCTTGTATGTGATGATAAGGCCCCCCCCCCCGCTAACTCTTCTAACAGCGACGTGAGGTTTAATTCACCTATTCAAATAGGTGAGTACACGTACGTACGTACAGTTGTACTAACGTATACGTACGCACGTATGCGCTACCTCCCCCCCGCCCCGACCCATTCCTCTGTGCCCCACTTAATCTCGGAGACAGACATGGGTACCAGGACCCAGAATAATAATAATATGGTGCCTTGGGGGGCACTGCGCACGCGCCAGTCGCAATCGACCATGGGGTCGACCACATTGGCAACGCCATGTGTTTTAAGTCGCCTCCTTACCTGTATTGCTAAGCGTGGCGAGGATTATCCATCCAGTCGTCATTTAGTGTGCAAGGCTGGCACTTGCACGCTTCAGGTGGATTATGCAGATATCCTAAACCAAAAAAATCCGAGTGGATGAAATCACTGGAAAGTTGAGTGTACCTCATACCGCCAGGTCTAAATGGTCTAATGACTGGACATTGAGCAATGTAAGGTTGGAGAGTGTAACCCTCTAGTCACTGCTGAGGCTTGAGAGGTTAGTCACTTGCAGCCACCTGCCACAGGTAACGGTAGCCAACAAGATCCTGGCAATCACTCTCGCACTTTTAGACGTGTTCTGCTGCCCATTGGTGCCAGATCTTAAACGGATCATATTTGTATTTATGCTCACAGATGTAATTGTGGGTCACTTCTTCAACCACTTTTGGTGTAAAAGATTCCCGATATACTTTAAAACTGTGTAACTAGTTTCACGAGTGTGTCACCTGCTTAGTGAATTTTGGAGGTTCGGTTCCTGGGCATATTTATATGCCTCTATATCCTTTTTCCACTACCGCCTACTGGATGGGTATGGGGTGCATAATAGTGTAAAGAACAACAAATCAGCTGGTGATCTCCTGCCGTTTACTGACAAATTTCTGTATCAGGCTGACAGATAACGTCTTGGTAAGTTGTGGCAGGGGACACACAGAGCTCTGTTACAGTATCGGACTGGCCGGCCTCCAGCGGCACTAAAGTCCAACTTCCCTTTTGGTGGAAAACTGGAAAGGTAAAGTTGGCAAGGGCTGACCAACAAGCCGTCTCTACTGCCTGCCTACCACCCCCAGACATCCGTGCCAGGAGTGGATGGGTAAATGAACTGATCAGCTCTTCCTCTTCACTTATGCCTGTCAAAACACAGACGTATTTCCATCGTCCCTCCTCTCTCCATATCTACCTTCCTCTCTCATATCTATTTTCATAAGTCCATGGGTGTTTGCAGACTGTAATATCTCTTGTTTCACAAATATCTAAAGTTTCCTATTGGGTTCGTAGGTTTCTGGTTAGGTTAGTATGGTGGAGTTTTTACGTAGTGTGTAAACACAGGCACGGGTTGCATCCTTGCTTAGGTTAGGAAATCTTATCAGTATCAAAACTGCATCTGCCAATCATTTTCTCATTTTATGCCTTAAATCGTCTGTTAGCGTTTTTAAGCAAGTCTTCAATGTTTTTTTTTTCTCGTCCTATTTTTGTATAAAATGCAAATATCCAAATGTTGCTGCTGATTCCTGTTTAGCACGAGAGGTAAGCATCACCAGGTCAATATTAATTTATTGATTCGACAAATGCATCCTGAGTAATACACAGTGTTCCTTATAGTGATTTTTAAAAATATTTAAACATTATACATACATCTTAAAATGAATACATTTAGAATGCCTACAGTGTACACATGGGGCGCCTCATTCGCAGGTCTCATAACAGATTTGTTTGTTGCGAGCATGTTTCGCAGAGACCAGCAAGGCATTTATTTGTCAGGTAATTACTATAAAGTTGACCGCCTAGACTAAGAAGGTACTAAACCCCGTTGGAAGGCTTAGAATGTGTTGGCATGTTCGAGGATTGGTAGTAAAGGTGTGGCATCATCATCACGAGAGAGACAGACAGACTTGCAGGAACCCGGCCATTCAATGCACATCTTTGGACCAAGACTTTATGGATAATGCGCCGTTTGTAGGTAGTCTAATATCGGCTTTTTTAACACGCAGATGATGTACAAGCTCATACTCCTTCCCAGTTACATCTAGGGTTGTCTCCTGTCCTTTGGAAATTAAAATAATTAGATTGTAGAATTGGGGGGATAATTAGTTTGTAAATAATCAGACTCGCTAAATTTTATATACAGCAAATTCGAAAATACAGCACAAGAAAATACAGATAATTCGAAAATCTTACAACCTTTAAATAGTCTTCCTGGCATCTGTAGTCGTCTACTCTGTAGCTCATGGTGAAGATGTGTCCTTCTTTGTCATGGGAAGACCCAAAACCTTTAAAGAAAAAAAGTTAATTTATACTGCTTTGGAATGCAAGATTTTGCTATTGTCTTTAGCGCTGGGAGGTGACGCTGGGGGGGTGTGGGGGTGACTCTGGGGGGTGTGGGGTGACTCTGGGGGGGGGTGACACTGGGGAAAGTGGGCACTGAGGATTGAGGAAGTAAAGCGCCGTACGAGACGAGGACGCTACCGGGAGCCAAGTATTTATATCTGTCGCCTGCTACCACAACACCTACGACCACGCCAACCTCACGCCCTCGTTCCCTAAACCCCTCACGCCCTCAATCCGGAAGCCCCCACGGCGTGCGGTCCGGAAGCCCCCCCCCCTTACGCCGTGTGGTCCGGAAGCCCCCACGCCGTGCGGTCTGGAAGCCCCCCCCCGTGCGGTCTGGAAGCCCCCCCCCCACGGAGTGCGGTTCGGAAGCCCCCCCACGGCGTGCGATCGCTAACTCTTCCCCCTTTTCATATTCATAGAAGAAATCCTACCTCAGAAGTTTGACAACATGCGACAGTTCGTCGGACAAGCTGACCAATCGCATGCCTCGACCGCGTCACCACGCCCACCCCACGCCCACGTCACCCTCTCCCCAACTCATTTATTCCAGGCCCACGCCTTTGCAACTCAATCGTTCTTGGTTCAACACCCTCGCACAGAGGTGCGCGCGCCGACTACTTACAGGCGGAAGGGTAATATTGTCCTTACTGATTCGTAAGTACACAAGCGCTACCCCCCCCCCCCCCCGTCCATTTGTGGACTAAACAAGTACGACTAAAAAACTCATTTACGGAATAAAATAATGTTTTTAATTTGTCAGTATAGTAATAATATTCATGCATTAGTTGAACGGGGGTCTGAGACAACTTTGGCGGCGTGTGCCCTGAAAATGTGTGTAGGTGGTTGCTTAGCCGCTGGTGTTTATTTCAGTGGAGTACGTAATGCCGAGATGTAAACGATCAAATGGACATTCCAACAGCGCACGAGCACATTCTACACCTCCACTTTCAACACATCCTCACACCTTCGACACCCCCCCACGTGGCCACATCAACCCCGGTCCAGTTGGACAGAGTACTAAAACGTGGACAGGTATCAATGCACCCACAGCACCGCTCCTGTGCCAGGTAAGTCCATTACGGGCTCACCATAGCCCGTGCCACTTGGAACTCATTCCAAGTAGCTGAATCTGTAACAATAACAATAATCAATGCACCAGGTTTAGTAATCGGGTGGGGCTACGCGATCTAGATCGTCCACTACGGGCTTCGTCCACTACGGGCTTACCATAGCCCGTGTTACTTAGAACTTTTTGTTCTAAATAACGAATCTTTAACAACAACAACAGCGATCTAGATCTTGCTCGCTGCGGGCACAAGTGAACACGGGCTCGCGAGACCACCTGACGTGAAGTTTGTACCCTAAACACAGCAAACCCAACAAAGAACAGTTAGGAAATAAGCATTGGGACATGTGCTACAGGGCGGGTTAGGGGGGGGGAGGGGGGGAAGGCGAGGCTACACATTGGGAAAACCCTCATACAGTGTGCGACAAGATGGTGACTGGGATAGCTGGATGGTGGATGTCTTGGTGGGGATGGTTGAAGCGCACGAGGGAAGAGTATTAACAGGGGAAAAGCCTATTAGGAATAGGCGCCAAACCAGTACGACTACATGTATACTCACAAGTGTTGAAATATTTTCATGTATAGTGATGGGTTTATAAGTTTGTGAGGGTACCACCTCTGGTGCCAATGTGGGGACCCATAGCCTCGGAGAAGAAAATAAAAAGTATTCAGAGGAGACCTTGTGGTTTCTCACTGAACACTAATATTATCTTCTCCTACCACCCCCATTCTTTTGTATGTACACATACATATTTACTTTATTTGAACTTTGTTACAAAAAAGGAGTTACATATGGGTTACAAAGATGGTTATCATAGGTTGTCGAGTTCCTCCAGCTACTCAGATGGCGGGCAGGAACCCTGGATGCAGTGCGCATTTCCCCTCTGTATCGCCACACTGAGGCGCTGGAAAAGAAAGCTTGCAGCATATATGTATTCAATTAAATTAGATTTTTGTTCACAAGTAGTTTTTTTTAAGTGCTGTTTAGCACTTAAAAGTGCTAAACAGCACTTGTAAGTGTTGTTATTTTTCATATTTTCACTAATTTCTCGTTTTAATTAAGAAGTTAAGAGCTGTATAATTTATTGTGAACTTTGGCTAATAGCCTCACGTTGTTGTGAGTGGGTGCTTGTCCTCAGTTTACCAAGAATTTAAGCTAAGAGGATAAACTTGTGGGTCAAAGAGGAAGACCTAGAGGCGAGCGTATTTTTTCCTCTCTTTCTCCTGCAAGATCTCGTACATCAAACAGTTAACACTAACTGAAATTATACATTCAGTATTTATTTAATACTTTATTAATATCCCTCTAGTTATGCTCAGTCGTCTATTTTTATACTATTAGAAACATACAAATTAAAGAAATTAATTCAGATTTAGAAGAACTAAGAAATGCCCAGAGACCTGAAAGCTGCAGTATTAAAAGCTGTGACAACTTTTGTAATAATAGGTATTTGTATGGTCAGCACAGTAACCGGACCAGGCAATGTGATGTAGTCATTGCGGTAATTCGCTTTGGCTATAGGCACATCTGGCTGGTTAGTGAGGCTGAGCCACTACCAGAATATTTAGATTGCAAACTCTGTGACAAACCTTTAGTGCATTCACTAGAACACTATATTGTTGAATGTGAAACCGTAAAAGATTTTAGACCTCCTGGCCTATTGTACCACCAACTATGTAACTATTTCATTGAATCTGGTGTACTGGACGACATCCTAACAATTTATCCAAAATTTGCTTGTCCATTTTAAAGAATGAACAATTTTATTTATATTATTTTTAAGTTGTATCTCTTATGAACCCATCCCTGCCCTTGTGTGGCAGTGCACAATAGAAAGTTGATTTTACATATTCATACATTAAAACATTGATTGTAACCATGTGCTTCAGCCTACAGTTTAGACCTATTGTCTTGTGTATGACCCTCTGTCCTGCGTGACAGTGAATACCAGCATTATCCTCACTTTTTAATAAGACTTAATTGAAATCCTCAGATTAGGCAAAATTGTAATTAAATTTTGTCAATAAAGATGTTAATAATAATAATCTCCATGTGGAAAGTTTCAAATTTAGTAGGATTAACTTTATTTTTCACTGAACGCGTTAAAGTGAATTCATGTCCATTCTGTGATACGGCGACCCAGATTGAACTGCATAATGTAAATTAGGACTTACTAGAGCAAGATAAAGTTGAAGAATAATTTTAAATGTTTTATTGCTCACGCTTCGATAAATAAATCTCAGTGTGCTATTTGCCTTATTTCGAACTTTTTTGCATTCATTTTTTGGCTTTAAATTCCCATTAATCATGACCCACCCCTCCAGATCTTTTTCGCAATCAGACTTCACTATCGTCATCACTCTCCAGCAGATATCTGTAACTCTATCATCATTACCTAGTCTCATAACCCAACATTTATTAGCATTACACAGCATCTGCCAATCTTTAAGATTCTTCTTATAACCTGTCTCTGTTTTTATTGACGCAGTGTTTTCTATTATATTTGATATAATTGAAAAAAAAACAACTTGAGGATTTGTGTTCACATAGAGATCGGCGCTGTTCACACCTTCGGTCAGTCTCATGGTTTCATGAAACTGTTGGCTTAAGAAATAGACATTTTATTTGCAGGACCCTTCCTTCCTTAATTACGTGAGCTGATCCATGTATGCTCATTTGATTGGTCATGAGTTATATATGATAGTCTATATAATTGTATTTGTGTTTCTCCTCAGGTGAGTTGTGGCACTGGGGCATGCAGTCGATTTCCTTGTGATCAAGTAAGAAACTTTGAGGTCACGTACATCAACCGTCCTCCAGTGAGTGTGGCTTGGGTGTTCGTGGATCTGTCTTGGTACCATTTACGTTATATTCTTTATCATATGGTCTTGAAGTTTCCAGTGGTGTTAGCACACCTCTTGTGAAGATGGACTTCATTTCTCTAAATAAGCAACATTGGTAACCTTGACAGGTTACTTGGAGCAGAATGTGAAGGTCGATTTAAGGGATTAGGTAATTACCCTCCATAACTCCTCAGATGCCACCAGCAGCGTTACTTAAGGAATGCTTTGTTTGTCTATTAATTATTTATTACTAAACACCCAAGTACGCAAGCATAGCGTGTGTGTGTGTACACTCACCTAGTTATACTTACCGAATTGTGCTTGCGGGTGTTGAGCTTTGGCTCTTTGGTCCCGCCTCTCGACTGTCAATCAATTTGTGTACAGATTCTGGAGTCTACTGGGCTCTCAAATCTACATCTGAAACTGTGTATTGAGTCTGCCTCCTCCACATCACTGTCTAATGCATTCCATTTGTTAACTACTGTCACTGAAACAATTCTTTCTAATGTCTGTGGGTCATTTGGGTACTGTTTCCACTTGTGTCCACTTGTTCGTGTTCCACCCATGCTAAATAGTGTCTTTGTCCACCCTGTCAATTTCCCTGAGAATTGTGTAGGTGGTTATCATGTCTCCCCCTTACTCTTCTGTCTTTCAGGGACGCGAGGTTTAGCTCACGTAGCCTTTCCTCGTAGCTCATACCTCTCAGTTCTTGGACTAGTCTGGTGGCATACCTCTGAATCTTAAGAACATAAGAACAACAACATAAGAACAACAACATAAGAATGAAGGTAACTGCAGAAAGCCTATTGGTCCATACGAGGTATCTCCCTATTTATAACCACCCAATCTGATTTATATATGTCTTGTTCTTTCTCGTCCCCCTTTTCTGTTCATCATGTAACTTGTTCTTTTCTTCCGATGATCCTCCAATCTTCCTCTTTCCACTTCCCACTGTCTAATCCATATTTATCTCCTCCTACTGCAGTTATTATAGTCTCTTGCGTCGTCAGCTGCCGTTGGTGACACTGGCCCCCCCCCCTCCCCCCACCTTCCTCCTCTGTTACGCTGCTGTTGGCAATGTTGTTGGGCTTTTCCCGCTGTGTGCGACTTTATTTTAGGAAACTATGTCAGCGTGGTGACACGGCAGGCTTCACGCGCGCTGGCTTCACGGGGAGTCTGGCTAGCTGGGCGCCCCGACAAGCCGCGGAAGCTGCTTTAATAGAGGGATAGGTGGCTTTACTTTAGGTCGAGCAGGTAAACAAAGTACAGGTATCAACATGTACATGTAAACTTGTACACTAGTTCCTCGTCCAGTGTGTGTGTGTGGGGGGGGGGGGGGATGGGTGGGCAGGGATGTGGTAATTTGGGGTTACAGCATAAACGAGATTAGAACAGTTTTTCATTCGCGCTCTAGGAGGGGAGTTGAGAAAGAATGCTGCCTTTCTGAAGTAAGTATGAGGGGTCGGGTGAAAGAGCGAACTAGCATTTGGAGGTAGGCGGGGAGAACTAGCGTTCATAATGTGAAATGTGAGACTTGAAGAAAGTGAGGCAAGGGGGGGAAAAGCGCCACCAAAAGAGGGGAAACACGTGGAGGAAGAGTTGATCCAAGTCTATGGAATAGAACATCTGTGCGATTGTCTGTCCAAAAGTAGGAGGCTAGACGCTCGTCGCTAGCCTAGCCCAACGTTCCAGCATGAAACATTGGGGGAGGAAGGGTGGGGGGGGGGGAGGGAGGGATGGGGGGGCTGTTATAGGAATGTCATAAGACAGTTGGCGTCGGCCCAAGTAACAACATTGAAAAAATATAGGCTTCTATAATGCACCCCCCCCCCCCCTTGCCCCCGAGCAGTAAGTCAGAAGAGAAATGCTGATGAGTTTCCCGTAGAATTTTGATGATTATATCAGGCGTTTACCCGCGTATTTTCATGGTGTATTCGAAAATACACCATGGCTGCAGTGGGCCCCCCCCACAATTCTAGGGGTCCCCATGACCCATAATGCTCATGAGAGAAATCTTGGCAGGATGAATAATTACTCGACCCTCTCCCTGGATAGGTATGAGATTCAAATCCCTTTTCCAAATTATATTTATATTATAATTTGCGCATACCCATCTGAGGGTAATCGTGTACTTTAGCTGACGGGCGGGGCTCATCATCTGGGTAGGAGCCCAAGTGCAATGCTATAATGCTGCCACGAGTGGCCCTGGGAAGTGGGGGAGGTAAGGAAGAGGGGGAATGAGACCCGGGTACCGCCGGATAACCCATCTAGTTAAAAACTTAACAGTTTAGGGGAGGGAGTAGTTTTGGCTGTTAACGTATGAGGATGATTACGCACATTTAAAGAGCCGCGATCGATTGTATAAAAGCTATCCTTCAAGGATAGGGCGATGACCTTAATATTTTTTGTTTGAGGGGGGTAGGACGATAATAGTAATATGCAAATTCAAAGGCAGCGAGGTAATCGAGGACTTTTATCATAAACAAAATCGCCTTGAAAGAGACGCTAGTCTTGTGGGCTAGGAACATATTTTGAGGTAAATCAGATGAGAAGGCCGACTAGTTTCACGCATTGAAAATGAGGGAACATAAAATGAACTAGCATCAAGGGGGTCGTGGGTGGCGGGAACTCGTTAAAAAAATTGTTTATCCTTCGTGGCTGATAAATAAGTATAAAGAAAGAATGGGGATAGTAACTAATGTATTTGGGGAGTGTAAGTGAGCGGGAGAAGACGAAACGAAGGGGAGATGAGAGAGATAAAGAGAGTAGGAGAGCGCAGAGGCTAAGATGAGGGACTGATAACAGAAATATGAGGAGATTAAGACGAGAGACGAGAGAGGGGGAAACAGAATAAGAGAGTTGATAGCACCCTCCCCTCTCTTCTTGTCTCCTCACTCGCACTTCTCTGCTTCTTCCCATTCACGCTTCTTCTTCGTGTCTGAACACACTCGTCTTCGCCCAGAGACCAAAACCTTCCACAGGAGACCATAAGTGTGGGGGCACTCCTGTCGCCCCCTACGATCACTATACTCGGCAGCTACATAATGTCAATATTCATTATCACTTAAGTCGGTCGTGCGTTCTCTCGGCAGCTCGTATCCAGCCTCTTGTGTGCCTTGTGTACAAGCTAATGAGCCTTCAGATATTTATCTTTATTAGCGCGCACCTTGCTGGCTGGGTTGTTTGAGTGCTTGATGCTTATAGCCGCTTGACGTGGGTGCTTCTGAGTGCATCCGTTAGTCGGTCAGTTGATGGGGTAGTACATTATGACCGGCAGAACTCGCTCCTTGGTTCTTTGTGGGTTATTTTTATTTAATATGTAAAATTTGTATATTGTATGACACGTTAGTGAGGGTGGCAGCTAGAACACTCACCAGGCGAGATGAATGAACCTAATGAACAGCAATAGTGAAGCCCACTGTTTGGTGTTGACACCCCCTCTCCCCCCCCCCCTCTCTCCCCTCCCCCTTCCTCCTTCCCCTCTCTCGGCAACAAGATCTTCATTGTGCAACGTTGGTTTGTGAACGTTAAGCGTGTCTGCTATTGCTCATTTTCCATGAGCACTCTGCTGCCTCACCCGGGACGACAAAATCAGTTGTTAAATGTGACATCTTCTTTCCCAAGAAAGTTATCTTGCACCAGAGATGAAGACTTGCAATAATGATCCAACAAAATCACACACCAGAATCCAGACCGAAGCTTGTATGTACACACGCTAGCAAAATGTTTCGAAAGAAAAGCGAGTCGGAGGACAGGATGTTACTCATCATTCACAAGTATCAAGCACTTGCTTCACACAACAATTGATGATCACTGTTAATCCCAGCACTAATGCCCTCCCCCCCCCCCTCCTGGTCACTGGAGGAGGGGGCGGCGGCGGCGGCGGCACAGAGCCTTAGTTCGGCCTTGGCGGGGGGGAAGGGGAGGCCAATCACAGTGTGGGCTCCACTTCTTGGTGTATATTTATGAGTTTACTTTAGTCCTGACTTATTATCAGAACTAAAATATATTTGCAGGTTGGTCAGCGAGCCAGTGGTGGGCCATAATAACCCTCGTGTGGTTAATAGCAATAAAGCTCAGCAATAAAACCCAAGGGCGGGGAAAAGCCATTTTCCTGGCCACGAGGAAAGGGCGGAAAGGAGAGTCCCGGATTCGATTCCGGTGCAGGGCAAGAAACTTTTGTGACAGACTACGTATATCCAGTGAGCATAACAAAAATTTATAATCTAGGAAAATGATAAAAGTAGGAGCATTGAATAGTGTTTGGGGCTTACCTCTCCTTTCTAGAGGGAAAAGGTATCACATAATATACAATGAAGATACTCTTGTCAGGTCCCAAATATGGACAATAAAATAGACTGGAGCCTAAGGTTAAAAAAAAAATGCAGAAGAGACCCAGTGAAAAATAGAGGTTCCACAGCCACATCAGAGAACACCGTATGAACATTGAACAAAGAGCCCACGGAACAAAGAGTGGAAGATTTCAAGCCGCAGATTAATTCCAGCAGGAAGTGCGGCATCAACCGGGTTGTAATGAATATGTGGGCCTGCGGGCAACAGTGTAAGTGATCATATTACCGAAAGATTAGCCAGACCCACGCCGAGCTTGAAGAGTAGAAAACCTCAAATTGTCTACAGAATATACTATAGGTAAACAGGACTGCTGTTTCAGGTACTCAAACGCCATCATTATTTTAGTAATCACTTCACCTCAATCCTCTTGACTGCGATGTATAAACGGTTACAAACGGAGTTACATCAGCCGGTTCACACGAGGCTGCCCTCGACAGACTACATTTCCTGTACCCATAGGAATCCCTGTAATCATTGCTTATCTAATACTCATTGCACCACTCTTTCCCCAATATATGCGGCCCGGGGTCCTCATGAGCAATATAGAGATAAAGTAAACTTGCGTTTCATGAAGTGGCAAATCATTTTATTGTGAATGATCAAATATCTGAAATACTTGCACT